TCTCAGTTGAAGTCACATATTTTGTGGTGGGAAGGACCTGCGTGGCTGAAAGAACAGATACCGATCTCCCAGTTACAAACTTATGACACCCCAACCGAAGAATCAAAACGTAAACAAATATATGTGATTCAGACAGAAACTTCATTGATCGATACACTTCTAAACGCACATAGCTCTATGGGACGAGTCATACGCGTACTAGCGTGGATATCACGTTTCATTAATAAAGCTCGACGTAATAACAACGAACGGCTTACGACATACTTACAATTACATGAATTAAACAATGCTCGACGCTTATTGATAAAACATGAGCAAAACAAACATTTTTCTAACGAAGTGGAGCAATTGGGAAGAAGCGCAAAGATAAGTTCATCGAGCAAACTTCTGAACTTATACCCATATTTAGACTCACATGGTATTATTCGAGTGGGAGGTCGGCTTCAACAATCTGAATTGGCTGAATCAAAAAAGCACCCAATGGTTTTACCAAACAAAAGCAGACTTACAAGCTTACTGATTGACGAAGCACACAAGATTACTTTACACGGCGGTATGAGACTAACAATAACACATTTACGAAATCACTATTGGATACTGCGAGGTATAAGAACAGTCAAAGAGCACATTTTGAAGTGTACCCGTTGTCGTCGCTTCAAAGCTACCACAAATAACCAGCTTATGGCGGAATTACCTAAACCACGAGTGACACCTTCACGACCCTTTACTCACACTGGTGTTGATTTCACAGGACAAGTGGAAGTGAAGGCAAATAAGGGCCGTGGAATTAAAACTACAAAGGGCTACATAGCTATTTTCGTCTGCTTAGCTACAAAAGCAGTTCATTTGGAATTAGTTTCTGACATGACAACCACATCATTCCTGGCGGCCTTGAAGCGACTATGTGCTCGAAGAGGATCCCCCAAGCATATGTATAGCGACAACGGAACTAACTTCGTGGGAGCAGCCAAGATACTGAAGCGTGAATACAAAGAAGCCTTACAGTATTACATTAACATAGATCTCATCGAATCAGCAACAAACCTTGGAATCCAATGGCATTTCAATGCTCCAGCGTGGCCGTCGGCTGGCGGGCTATGGGAATCTGCTGTGAAAAGTATGAAGCACCATTTGCGAAGGGTTCTCGGCGAACAAAAGCTGACGTTTGAAGAATTTATAACATTGTTAGCTCAGATTGAAGCCTGCCTCAATTCAAGACCTTTGATCGCTGTGACAGATGACATAGATAACCTGGATTGTCTGACTCCAGGACACTTTTTGGTTGGTGGTCCCATTCTTGGCCCACCTATATCAGCGGACCTACATCCAAGCAACATTCATACTCGATGGCAACTTACAGACAAAATGTTCAAGGACTTCTGGAAAACTTGGTCAAATGAATACCTAACCACAGTACAAACACGTAACAAATGGTGCAACCCTACAAAAAACCTGGAAATCGGTGACGTGGTACTGATTAGAGAAGATCAAATTCCACCTGCTAGATGGCCGTTGGCTCGAGTGATAGAAACGCATGCAGGTACAGATGGCTGCGTACGAGTTGTGTCGTTGAAGACAAAAAATGGCTCAACAACAAAGCGGCCCGTCACAAAGTTATCACGCTTACTACTAGAGCCTGATAATAATGCCAACAAACAAGCAGCTGACGTAACTCCTACTTCGACTCCAGTAAAATCGAAGCGACTAAGAACTGCTACAAAGAACAGTTTATTTCTGACACTTATGTGGCTACTGCTAGCGTGTATATCGCCATCTGCACAACAATTGACCAACATAACTACACTTAACCCTGCCAAACTGATTTATTTTGATAAAATATCAGACATGCAGGTTGCACAAGATCACTGGAACCTAGTTATGTACTACAATATGACAACGTATTGGCAGAGTATAAGCAGTATTGAAAAGTATATAAATCACCTAAACCAGCTATGTCAAGGACACACAGCATTTCGCACCATAGCAGCACAGTTTGAACATGAAATCAAGGAGCTGAAACATTTTAATGACATTCTCCGATCTGAACATGGAAGACGTGTGAAGAGAGGACTCATTGACGGAGTTGGTTATGTTGCAAACTCTTTATTTGGTGTACTTGACGAACGTTTTGCTGACAAATACAGAAAGGACATCAAATACATTCAAAATAATGAAAATCACCTCCTGAGCTTGTACAAAGAACACACATCCATTATAGAAGGAGAATACAATCTGCTGAAGAGAAATGAAGAAGTTATGAACAAGCAGCTACATATCATCAATGAACACCTTAAAGAGAGAGAAAATCAGATAACGAAAGATCAGAATCACTTTTCATACATCACCGCTACGTCGCTGGCTATAAATGTTATTATTTTGAATATATACAGAGTACAACAACAATTACTGAACTTGGTGACAGAAGTGAGAAATGGTCGAGTGGACACTCATCTTTTAACCCCGGGAGAGTTCCAGGATCAACTTAATATCATATCGGGGCACCTGCCACGCGACTTATCCTTACCATGTTTAAACACACATGACTGTATTCGAAACATGTACAAAATATCACGAGTAAACGTCAGAGTTACGGACAAATTCCTTATAATAGAAGTGAAACTGCCGATTATATCCAATGAATTGTACGAATTGAATCGGATTATACCTATACATAAAATAAATGGTAACACAATGAAGTCTATCATCCCAACTTCAGAGTACATGGCAGTCAACATAAGAAAGGATTTATTAATAACATTTAACTCTGATGATATGCGGTCATGTGTACATTTAAATGAGAAACAATTAATTTGCTCATTAAACCTGCCTATCTACGATATAAAGGCGGCGTCAATTTGTGAAGCTCAAATAATAAATAATAGAGCAATATCAAATTGCCGTATAGCGATAACAGAGTGTCGGCACGAGTGGATCCAGTTACATGGCCGGGGCGCCTGGCTCTACTCCTGTTGCGAAGAATGCAGCGCACGCATATTTTGCCCAGATGGGACAATGACACAGACATTACGTCACACGGGCGTCATAACGTTGTCACAAGGTTGTGTTTTGAAAGGAAACAACGTAATCATTCATTCGCAAAACAATTTTAAAAGTGAAATGAAGAGAAATGGAGAACAACTAATGGATATACCGGAAGAATCTGAGGTTAATCAAATGATAACTGAGTTCAACGAAACATTTTTCCCTGAAAACCACGAGGAATCGTTGAGTGCGTTAAAAAGGAAGATCGACGCCGTTAAGGATGTACAAAATTCTGTAACCAGCCAAATTGGTAGCCACGACACCCAACATTATGCCACATACGGTATTATCATCCTTATTATTGGGATTCTTCTATGTATTTGGAGCGTACGAAGATTCAGAAGACGTCAGCAACAACGTGTGGTCGTCGTAGAAAACACGGATTCACAAGCGGAACCAGAGCCAGCCCCTCGACGACAGCAGACTCTCCGCCGGTCGATATCCTTACCACGAACAAACGTCAAGCGGCAGGATGTCAACACTGCATCGGAATCGGAACCAGTTGTTATCTTTATGAAGAAGATGCAAGACAAGGCGACGTCTCCTATATAAACTTAGATTTAAGAAGAAAAAATGCTTTTTTGAACTTTATTTATAGCTATTGCTTTTACATTTACATTTTTACCTTTATATACATTTTTTAATGCATTTTTTCCTTTTTTGTTAAGTCGGGAGCATGTACGAGCAGTACATTACGTATTTTATATTTAACCTAATTATTTTGATGACCATGCGCAACTGCGTAGCGCGCCTCAATATTTAGAAATATTATTATTTTAGTGCAATAAACATATTCAATACGAACGGTCTACATTTTTTACATACCTTCGTCTGAACAGTTGCATTCCCGAAACATTAAACATTCATATTTGGGTACGAGCCCCAATACCGGCTATCTGGCCCACTGTCCCAACTCAACCCGATCCATTCATTCACTAGACTGACCCCCCCAAACCCCCCTTCAACATAACCCACGTCAACGTCGCTGTACCTTGAAAAATCTGTATCTCACACTACCTAAGACCTTCGTATTACCAGACACAATAAATTGAGATGAATGGGTGTCATTGGTAGTTGATATTATATCTTGGAATAGACAGATTTTGTTCTTGTTCCTTAAAGAGAATCATTAGTCCATAATCTTGTTTTTGGCTCAACCTAAATGGTATGTGACAAAAGGCATGTGTAACGCCACTTCACACCTTGTGTTGAGACTACTAAATTGTAAATCAGCAGATTATTATCAGCACATCGTGGTCTTCCATCGATTACGGGAACCTAACAGCGTTATCAGCATAAAACATCACCAGAAACCAGTTCTCACAAAGAGGGTTAATAACAGTCATTAGGGTGCATTTTTCTTAACAACAAAAACGGTCATAGTCCAAAGCGAATTACTCGGAATCCCCATTAAAATCACAAAGCGACTTCTATACTTAATAACAAAAATTCATTCGGTCCGAATGAATGGAATGAGCGGGGCCGTATTTAGGTCGTCGCGGCGCCGGCCGGGTCGTCTGTAACAGTTACATTCGCGGGGTGAATAGGATGCATAATTACATTCGCCGTAAGCGCTCCGAGTCACTCATTCATTCGACCTGCTCATATCTGCGCTATGCAGATGCCAAGAGTCGCACTCTTTTATAATATTCTTTTTGCATAAACGTATTCAAAAAAGCTTTAATGCATTCTTATGCGACAGTAATGTAGTCTGTTAAAGCTTGTAATACGGAAGACGCCGTGAGCCCACTTTGAAACTGAATCTTTTTTGACAAATGCAAAAGAAGTACATACTTTAAAACCAAAACTTAATCTGCCTTCCTTTGTTTGGTAACTTTAATGGAAGTGATGCTGTTTTGCAATATGACTTTATTGTCTAGATAATTTGCTTTAAATTCTATCAGCAAACTTATAAAATATCACTGAAGTACTCAACCCCACCACTACACAAAAGCGGCCTATCGCTGAATACCTTTAACTAGGGCGAGGTACCCACAAATACAGTAGTCCAGTGGTAGAGGCAAGTTTTCTAATTAATGTAATACAATACAGAGAGCAGCGAATTAATGAACAACTTCTAAATAAACTTAGCGGCCGCTGGGCATAGCGGGCCCACGCTTAGTATCGTGGTAAGTATTAGGAACTTTTGCATTTCGCGAACACAGAAAGATTATTTTTAACTCCTTCAACATAATCATTACATTAAAAAGCGTCCATTGACAAAACTTTTCGTTGTTTACCATAAAATTTAACAATAAGGCAATTTACAAAGTTTTAAATAGAAAACTATATTCATTATAAACTTTTACAATTAGTTAGTCTTTATAATAACATTGGAAAACTGAAAATTAAAAAGCTATCAGAAAAACTAATTTAGTGCTTTTCAGAAGCTTTTAATGGTTTCCTTCGTAGAAATTTCTATAGGCACTATAATAGTCAGTATCTACAAAAATAAATCTCAAACTTTTGTGAATGTACCTACTAGACACGACACAACCAAAAGCCTCAAATTAGATTGACCGTGACGTCAGCATTATGAAAGTCCCGTTTTCACGCAATTCTTTTACGCTTATAAATATTATTGATTATACTTTAAGGAGCATAGGAGCTGACAGCTGATGGAAGTGATGACAGCCGTTGCCCATGAACACCTGCAACACCAGGAGTATAACAAATGCGATGACGGCTTTAAGGAAGCAGTACGTTCTATTTTTTGAAGGTTTTCAAATCGTATCGTTCCGGAAATCAAAAATATTCACAATAATGAGAGCTCTGTTTTCCTAAAAATAGGCATTGCTACAGCTAAACAGTTTATTTTGCAGCTACAACGTACCTGTGGCATAAGCTGGCTCCAAGTCATCTTCATCGTCGGTGTGGTGCCGACTCGACGCATGCGAGTGTGAGTGGGAATGCGAATGGTGTGGCACCCCCACATGCACGGGCTGGATCGGCTGCTCGTAGTGTTTGTGGTGGTCTACATAGACCCTGTGGTGATGGGGGCACGGCGTGGGGGGCAGGTAGTCCGCGAGCGTCCCGCCGCGGGTCAAAGTAGACCCGGCGCTTAGAGTTCCTCCACCAGAGCAGGAGGCTAACGCGCTTCGAACAGACCCCAAGTCTAAGGAAGGTCTCCGAGACAGTTCTCCGTAGCTTTCGCCGAACAAAGCGCTAGCGGGCACAGCGTGACGGACCTCGTGATGGTGCGAATGACCTCCGTTTGAAGACGAGTGCGGCGACGCTGAGTGGTCTCTGCTATCGCGGGATGTCGATGCCGTGTGTAAGATGCTTTCGTCATGCGTTTCCATTACATCTCTAGCCGTTGGCGGGTTCGGATGTACGTGTACAGCGGATGTGCCCGCTCTTCTAGGACTCCGGCCGCGGTCCGGCAGCACCGACGATGCGGACCAGTAACCCCACGCCATTTTGTTTTAATTTTAATACAACAGCACTTCACGGTTCACAGTATAAGGCCATACACAACCAACTGTCCTGACAAGTTGACACGCTCGCGCCTTCCCTACGCCAGAGAAGTCGGTTACAACAGGGTTGACGCAGTATGTTTGTAGTAAAATCAAAAATGTAACTAAATTTTATTATTCCATAAAACTGAATAGGACTCAAACTAAAACATGACACGATGTTTAGATAGTTCCGAACAAGGCAAACCTAATTTTATTGTTCATACAAAAAAATATCATCTCCTTTTCTGTGCTTTACCTTTTTTTTATAATAAGGTAGGCAAATGACTTTACCCCATCTGATGTTAAGCTTTACTACTTTAAAAAAAATCTCAAGAGTTTAGTGTAGACAGTCTTCAAAGGCGAAGATACACAACTTGCCCTAGACTAGTCCGCCATTCTCCTTGTGCGAAAGTAGCTTAACATTTTCAATCCTCTAAAATGTCTCATATCTCCTGTAAAATGGCACCAAATAAAATTCTACAACGAAATTGTAGCCAACCCTATCGTTCAACCGACTAAACGAACTAATCTCCTTTGACGTGCAAGTTTAGACCGCACCGTGCAATGAGCCAAGCGGAGCTGCATCGTGGTCGCCGTACGAGCACTTTCATGCTTAAGCCTACATTGGATTAAAATAACGGTACTAAATCAAGTATGTATAATAGTTTTCAAATCCATTAGGAAATTAAAGTGAAACTTTTATTACATCCCTACGGATTGTTTCGTTCATCTTACATTTTTGATTGTTTTTTTTTAAGAAAATTCAGACTCTTGCCTGCTACACGGCCGGCCGGGTTCGAATCCCAGCCAAGGAAGGCCTAAGTCATAATAGGAATAATAAGGCTATAGGGGAAAAATAATGTCAAGAATGTACAAATACTGTTGTACATAAATACATCAATCCTCTAGGGTTAAAAATGGAACCCTAATGCTGTCGCTTTGTCGTCTGTCTGTCTGCCTGTCCGTATGTCACAGGTCTCTAGATCGCAAACGAAATGAGTTACAGAACTGAAATTTTGGTATTTTATGTAGAATGCTTGAATAGAGCCGAATATATACTTACAAATTCAATATAATTATTTTTCCTGAAGAAAAACATAACATAAAAAGAAGACGATTTTTTTATTTACCCCCTGCATGTGTAACGTCGTTGTCTATAGCCTTTTGAGTGGGATATAAATGTTAAATTTATTAATTTCTACTTTCAAAAACAAAGATATGGGGGGCCGTCAAAGTTGTCATTTTTAGACCATTTTTGTTACGGGGTCTACGAGTATCTCAAAAAAGAAACTATAATAGCTAGGAATGTGAAATTTTGGTATATAATGTCCCATATACTGTATTTAAACAAACAATACTGAAAACGCCAATTTATTGTTTACTTTGGAAGTTGTTACGAAAACAAACAAATGATTTTTCTTTTCGCGGTTTGTTGTACGAAGGGTTCCTTCGAGCAAGTCCGACTCGTACTTGGCCGGTTGTTTCTTCATCCTCTTCTTAATTTTCTGAAGCACCAGTGCCTACTTCCGATTGATAATATCTTGGTCGTTGAGTCGCGTTTCATGTCTCACTGCGTTTTGGGCAAACGGGACTGGCGAAATACGATATGCAGAGAGTACGAATTAAAGATCATGTCATGTAATCGAATGAGATAAATGCGGACAAAGCCAAACATTTGACCTAAATTGAAACATAATGGCTATTTTTTACATCAAAACTGCTGAACTAATTTTGAATACTTTTTAATTAGATTTCATTAATGAAGGGTTTCGTTCTGCCAAGAAAATTATTATTGATTGAAGGACAAAGCGTATGTTTGGTTAAAGTTTACGAATCAAAGATCATGACATGTAATCGAAAGAGATAAATTCCGATTAAAGCCAAACATTTTACCTAAATTGAAAAATAATACCAGATATTTTTTACATCAAAACTGCTGAATGAATTTTGAATACCTTTTAAATAGATTGCATTATTAAAGGGTTCCGTTTTGCCAAGAAAATTAATATTGAGTTAGTTTGCTTAAGAAACCAATTCGTCTGTAGATTTTATCCCAGCAATAATGAACATAGTAACAATAGGGATGATGACGGGATAAAGGAAGCGAAATTCTATTTTGGGCTAATTTCTCAAACACTGGATAAAATTCATCTGTCTGATATCGTATTATACGGACGAAATAAAGAGTTGACTTGTGTTAATTTGTGTAATGTAATGTGTAATGACATCTCTATCTGATTGATTCTACTTCTGATTGATTCTTTGATCTCTATTTGATTGAGAAGGTTTAATTTATTGAACAGTTAAGTTTTATAGAATTTTTTAAAAATCGGCTCTTATTTAATAAAATTTAGCCATCATTGTAGGCCGTGTTGATGCAAAAATAATACAATACTATGACAAAATGCCATTTGTCAAAATTTGACACATTCTACTATGTATTTGTACCAAATAATAGTCAAAACACTTATTTGATCCTTAATTTTTTTTATTGTACTTTCCTAAGTTATTCTAGTAGAGTCAACTTTCTGTGTTATTTTATACTGTGGCAGCGGTAATTCGACTGTGTTAGGGGAAGCTAAATGAGATGGAAACTGGCTGATACACGGCGATAAACAACCAAGTTACTGATTGATGACTCTCCTACAGACTGACCTATACAATTGATACGGTGAATTAATACTTATAGTCTACAATTAGGGCCATTTGCATTTACACTCCATATTCAAATTAAGGCTTTAACGCAATCCTGTTCAACACAATACATCGTTCTGTTTTCGCCAATCGTTTAGGGTAAAAAAGTGATAGAATAAGCGCTTGTTAACCAGACGATTTCTACCCGGGTTAAGGGACGGTTTTAAACCGTGTCTACTGTACGTCCGGGCGTCAGTGGATATGGATATGGAACACTATGGAGGTTTGTATAAACGTAAATACAGTGCTCGTGAACAAGCTAAGGAGCCATTCATTTATTACGTAAGAGTATTTTCGCTAGTTTTTGAACCCCTCCCCCCCCCCCCCCCCCTTTAAAAGAAAAAAATAAAATAGACCAACCCTTCTCCTCTGTTTAATATTTATTACGTAGGAATCTAAAGGAAAAATGAATACACGTTTGGTATGTTTTAAAACTGGTTTTTCAAGATAAACAATTATTAGAAATGTTTTGGTAGTAATAAACTTTGGTTTTAAACATTCATCTTTATAGTAGGGGAGCCCAAGCGGGGATTTTTGGATTTACTCGAGCGCGGCAGAATAACTGGGGAGCAACCTTGCACGTAGTTAAGTACTCCCACTATACCTGAGTCATCTATGTAGGGCCGAACGTCTAGGGCAGCATAAACAAAATTTCAACAAACGGCCATGACATTTGTTCGGGTCCAAATCGTCAGTCTTTTGAATAGGAGCTACTGGAGGGTTCACGTAACATCCCTTCTCAATGTCTGACGCGCTTGGTTATTTTTTCCTATATTCTACCGCTTCGTACGGCCACTCCCATATAATGCAAACCGCGGCAGATCAATATTTTTTTCCGTTTTTAGAAACGTTACATGAACCCTCTAGTAGCTTATATTCAAAAGACTGACGATTTGGGCGCGACTAAAAGTCATGACCGTTCGTTGAAATTTTGTTTTTGCTGCCCTAGACGTTCGTCCCTACATAGAGGGCTCAGGTATGGTGGGAGTACTTAACTAGGTGCAAGGTTGCTCCCCATATGTTATTCTGCCGCGCTCGAGTATATCCAAAAATCCCCGCTTGGACTCCCCTACTATTTACCTTTTACCACTGTAGCGGGTGGCGCAGGTCCGTTGCCATGGAAATGGAAACAGTGTACCTATACGCGTCCGAGCGAGCCACGGTTGCCTATGTTTATGTTCTTACGTAAGAATATAATTATTGACACTCCCTTCCACCCCCCTTGTAAGAAAAAATAAGACATGGTCGACCCCCCCCCCCCCCCCCCCCTAAATCGTCTTACGTAATAAATGAAAAGCTGGAACCAGCCTGGGTAGAAACCGTGCCTAAACCCGGCGAAAAACCATCATTATCAAAGCGCGCCAAGATAAAACATGATTAAAGAACTCTTTAGTGCAAAGCTAAGCGCATTTTTTAATATTAAACCAAATATCGTCAAAAAGAGCTCGATCACGCTTGGGATAGTAATTAAAAAACATTTAAAAATGTCTCTTATTGCATGATGAGAAGGTTCATACTCGTATTTTGACTTAAAAGGTTATGTTAATAAATAATACTTATATATCATGAAAACTTATGCGACGACCCAGTGACTTCGTCTCCGAAATTATGTAAAATTAACCTTATATCTTACAACCGAAAGACCAAAACCTACTGCTGCTAAAGCAAATGGACACTTTGATACACGTAACACACAACTTTTCAGCTTTTCGCAATAAATTTATTTTGTTTTCCTTTTGCTCTCATCATAATTGCCGTACATCATCTTAATGTAAGAACACTCTACATTCCATAATTCCTCCTTCATAAATAACGCCGGGGGAGGGACTCTACTTTTAACGGAAAACAGAAATAAAACAAGTCTTAGTGAAGGAAAGCACTGTTGTGGAAATACTTAGGTATATATCGATACACCTTGGTCGAAAATAAGTTATAGGTATACATCATTTGATTCAGTTTTTTTTTCTACTTCGGTTTGATTATATTACGTGAAGATTTGAGTACTTTTTTGGCGTTTATGCAATTCAATTTTCCAATAATTTTTATTGTTCAGAACGCTGAAGAGACACAAATTTATGAACCAATGTCGCTGACGCCGTACTATTTGGATTTTTGTTTGCTTGTCAAAAAATGTATGGCGGGCCGAGTGATTTTCGCTAAAGCGACATCTAATTCGTAAATTAAATGCAATATGTAACTTTGTTATAGGTGGATATTTAGAAAATTAGATTTTATGAATATGTTCATATTTTTTAAATGAGTTATGA